TTACAAGGCAGTTAATAATGTGTATATAGGCAGCATATAATCTTGGTGACATTCCTAAATTACATGCCTCATTGTTCTTTTTAAATAGAAAATCATAAAAAACATTTAGGATTTTTGTGTTTATGTTGTTGGGAGCTACCTAAGGAAAAACAAGACTTTGTATATTCTTTGAATTAATAAAAGTTGCAAAAACTCTTCTGGAAAAAAAAAAATACATACAGGGAAAACCCCAATCTGTGTCCCCACATATAAATACAGACTTGTTTTGATTAAGCGCGCAAACGTGAGTACAGTTTGGACCTGCTAAGTTGGTGTTAAGAGTTATACAAGTTGGCAATGAACAAAAAAATGCAAAGCCGACCTGCACAATTACGTTAAACTGTTATCATGTTTTTTTTACGCTCGTTTACCCAGGAACGGCTAACCGAGTGACGTGACTAATTTTTTCTGGAGGGTCCTGCCATATTTTAGTATAGTGGAGGGGGGAAATGATTGATATCTAAAATCCAAATTCAGCAATTACATTTTTTGATAAACAGAGAAAGTCACATTGATGGCCGCGCGTACTGCGGTACTTGTATTCGTGTCCATTTGAACACATCGAGCTAAAAGAGACGCAGAACACGACTGCGGCACTCAATGCGCGTTGATGTGCCGTGACATTATACAAATATAAATTTACACAAACAGACCGCCTCAATTTGGACGGCTGGGCTAGGACAGCGAGGGCTTCTTCCCCCGTGTGCTGATGCTGTCTTGGACAGACACGGCTGCATTCGCTTCCCTAGGCCTTGGCAATCATTATCGATTTATATTTGGTGACCTGCTTACGTTTTATTTATATTGTTTCCACTTCTATCGTCTTTTGCATTGTTCGCTGTTGTATAACTTACGGAAACCGCCCATAGCTCATCTGATCCCTCCTGCAGTCTAAATAAACGTCACGATTCTGAATTTCCCGGCACTGCCGCCACCCTCTACAACACGGCATTGCACCAAGTAGCTAACTAAACGGTAAAGTCACGTAGGTATAAAATAAAATAAGACCCACTGAGCTATGTGTAGTGCTTTTTCAGAAGCAACCTGGCAACAGATGATAGCTCAACGAAGTGGCTTATCGCGTGGAAATTTATAGCAGCCAAATGATCTCAACGCATGTTTGTAAATGAGAAGGGAAAACCCAGAAAAACCTGGAGAAAAATCCACGCGACAACGTGGAGAACACGCAAACTCCAAATACACAGCAGGCGTCAAAAGGGTTGAGATTGAAACCATGACCTCCTGTACACACCAGGCAAGGTAGTTAACATCTCGCCACCGTGGCACCCACTTACACTAGACTCAAGTCTTCAATCCCCAGGGCCCACATCACAACCAAGCCTACATGCTGACCAAGACAGTTGACTTAACTTTTTCACCCTGTGAAGTAATATGGTTTATTCATGTAATTTAAAGGCTGAAGATGGCCATTTTTTAATCGTTTAGATTATGTAAACTTGTGGGCCGCTCTTGGGCCACGAGCCTTAATTTAGACAGCGCTGGTTTAGATTTTTAGTTTATGTTCTTCGTGACAATGCTTTTTTTTAAAACGTATTTGACAAATTATTCTCAAATAAAACAAAGGGGAAGAGGGTGCAGACATTTCTAAAACTCCTAAGATTGGTTTGTTCACACATCGTGGTCATGCTTTTTTGAGCTATGTCAAAAGTCATTGTTGGCACATAAATCATCATGATAACAGTCAGAATGAACTCATATGGGCTGGCAAATTACTCAAATCCTGTGAAACACCCACAGACAACAGACCATTGCAGTTTGATTTATTTATAATGTAGACAATATTTTTTTATTAGCTTTAAATGCCCACTCCAGTCTTACCCAAAACCTCAAACTGACCTTTAACGCTATTTATACCAAATCATCCACACCCATAACCCTGACCCTATTCTTAGGCTTTAAGCCCAGCCCCAACCATAATCCCAATCCTATCATTATAAACTGAATCCTAACCCTCAATCCTATCCATAACCCTGACCTTAATTCTCACCTCAGTTGAACCCGATGCATACCATTTCTCCCAGGTCTTGTTTGCAAAAGACACACACACGTACAGCGTTCTCCATTGAACTCTCACACCGAATGCAGAAAATAAATCGGGGTCGGTACTCACGTTCGTCAAGTTCACTTGCGGGACAGGGCGCGTGGCTCTAGACTAGAAGATGTTGTTATACTTGCGTTATATAGCACTCCATTAGCCAGCCGCTCCGCTCTGTGCCCATGACTCATCACCGACCCCACGTGCTAACAACAACCGTGACTCGCATATTTCACTTTGATAAGGGCGCAAGTTCTCCATTGCCGAAAAGACTTGTATTGAAATGCAGCGGGGCTTTTTGTATTTTATTTTAACAAAAAAATATAATAAAAATATATTGTTATGCTGCGTTATGCAATATATAACTATTTATTGGTACGCAACAACAGGGGGGGAAAAACGGAAATTCACACGCATGCATTTACATGTATAAATACAAATGGAATTCTGCCAGTACACACACACATACGCGTGCAGCGTTATCCAAAACCGAGCGGTGACGCTGCAGCCAGAGCAAATGACTCACCACTGGAAATCACAAGAACACGATTTAAAAAAAAAATCACAGTTGGGGAGTCACCTCGGCCCAATCAGGGCACCCGAGTTTCATCAAATGAGCATTGCTTCCGTTGTTATGGGAAGTTGTCCTGCTGATGATGATCTGGTCTCCGTCTTACGAACGTGGAATTTCCACCGACGGCACCGGGAGGGAGCCCACCAAGAGAGATAAACGCGACACCCGGCGCTCGTTGGTGTCGGGAGACACGAGGGGGCTCTGCGGTTTTCTCAACCGAGTACGCACTTAGGACTATAATCCACCGGGCAGGCTTAAATAAAAAAAATTTGCATAAATCGAGTGGTCTGACCTGCATTTGTATGCCATATTTTTTTGTTTGTTAAAGCAAATACACAACACTCAACGAGCCCTCACCAGGTATGCACAAATATACAAATCAATGAATACAAATGAATTAACTGACAATAAAACCTGAACAAACCGACAAAACGTCATCGGGGGGAAAAACCCACACACAACACACACAAGTCAACCTGTCGCTCTGCCCGCCCAGATGTGACCGCATCTTGCACTGTACAAAAGCCAGGAATCGAACTTTGTGCTTCGACGTCTTTGGCCTAACCACGGGGAACTTTCTTTTTTAAACACAATGACTTATTAAGCGCGCGTCTCGTTGCACAAATATAAAAAAAAAACATCCTATCACAGATTCTCTTAGGGCGATTCCTCATCACATATGCGCCCCCTGTGCTTACCATAAAAGTTAAATAATTTCACTTGGCTTCATGTTTTTCGATTCAAATGTGTTGCTTACTTAAAATTACAGTAGTCTCTGGGGAGGCACGTATCCATTGGTGTATGAAGAATCGCTGGAATACATTTTATATTACAGCAGTCCTTGATATTGGAAAGCCTGACTTTTTCGTGAGGGGCCTGCATTGTTCAGCCAATTCCTTAATGAGCGTTTTTAGTTTGGGCAAAGATTGAGTGTCTGGCTAAAAAAACCTCACACACGAGGGAATAACAGTCAAAAGTGCACACAGATGGGTCACAAACCCGCGTGCTCTACACTGCCTTGTTATTGGCCACCGGGGCTGGCTGGGAATTTCACAACACACGATGACCTCTGCGTGATCTCCACCAATCCTGCTGAGAGAGCTGCAGCCAAGAGGTGAGAAAAGTAATCAGCTGTGATGCCATGTGACACTCAATTTCTTTCCAAGAGACAATTGTGAAGCACTTTTCACATAGCCAGTTATTTATATAAATATGTAGATTTTATATATATATAGTAACTCGGTTGTCAGTATTTTTTTTTTTCATTTGATGCGATTTAGTGCCGAGACACCGGCAAACGCTGGCTGACCTCTGTGTAATTGGGTTAATACTTGCGTTAAGTCAGTGCTGTAAAAAGATACATTTCTGCGGTGCAGGTAGCAGCGCTCAGATGATGAATGACATGCGACAAGCGTGAGCGAGGACTATGGCTTGCAGATCAATGCATCCGTCATCACATCTATCGTGCGTATTTTCACAGCCAGGTCTCAGGAGGGCCCCACAGGACCAGACAGATATAGCATCTGGCAGTATCATCACTTACAAAGCGAGCGGGGGCACCCCTGAATGGGGTACATTTTGGAGTGGGCGGTAGTTTTGGTTATAACGTGGACTTTCGTGCAGTTGGACCACTCCTTGGGAATGTCTAATAAATGGTTCAGAGCTTCCGAATGGCGATGAAGGGTGTGCGCTAGATTTGACGGGAGTAGGGAGACACTTTGAGAGACTTAGGGACGTGAACGCTTTGGAAATACAACAATGCGTGCCATTGTGGCATAATTATACTTCAATTGCATTCATTTTTAGCCAAAGCACTGTCAATTTAAACAATATCATTTGCAGAGGTGGTTAACATTTTTGCTCTTGTAATATTTTACCTGCCAGTTAACATGAATTTGACTGAATTGCTCTTATTCCTCTCTATGCTCCACTTACTTTTGCAGCGTCACTTTCTACACTATTCTCCCAAACATTGATATGCTTCTATTTGACCCTAAGTCTCTCCCTTTACGAAAGACACCTCTTCTCTCAGTGAGGCCCTCACCTTGTGAATCAAAGACCTCACCGAACGATGCGGACGGAAACTTTAGTTAATTTCCCCACTGCATTTTACCGGGCGGTTACAGAAATCGAACCGAGAACGCCCGCGAAAACATATTATCTCGTGAACCATCGCGCGGGTCCAGAAAACTCCCCGGCCTGCTCCCCCGGACCCGTGCGTGCAAAACATTGCTTGCGAATACAACTCAAAGAACGCGGTGGGCGGGGGGGGGGGGCGGGGGGGGTGTGGGACGAATTAATATTTTTTAAAAAATCCATCTGTAAACTCACGGAGCAGCACGGCGCTGGCGGCGGTGGGGATGCGTGCCAGGCTCGAGTGGTTGAAGGTCTGTCGGCAGAAGAGGACCCGCGAGCCTGACTTGGGGAGGGCCACCCCGCCGGCGAGGGCACGCAGCGTGGGGTGTGCCGCCCACGCGGCGGCCGCCGATGCCGTCGCCACCGGCGCCGTTTCGCCCGCCAGACGTCCCAGCAGCGCGCGGTAGCGGCAGTAGCGCGGATAGCTCAGCACCACCACGTCGGGAGCCGGCTGCTCCGCCGCCGCTACCTCCGCAGTAGGGGCTGCACCAGCAAGAGTACAGAGGGAGAGTTGGGAGAGAGACGGGCGGCAAATAGAGTGGGAGACGGGGAGGATGGAGTGGGGGGGGGGGGGGTGGCGACGTTAGGTCAGACGCAACTCGATAATGAGGCTTTATGTTCAGTGGCAGGCTGTGAAATGAGCGGAAATAACTTTTTTCGACGTTAGCACCCTGCTATCGCTAATGTGCAACGGGCGCATAAATATATTGTGCTGTAATGACATCACGCGGCGTGTTTTACATAACGTGTTGTTCGCGGAGATGACAACTTTAAGTGTACTTTAATATAGAAATACGGTCGCGGCAAGAGACAAAAACACTTAATTGAATCTTTCACACGGTCGTAGCAAGCGCAATACTGGAGGGCCTTGAGCAATGCCATCCTGTTTTGGAACTAAAGATGAATTGCTCTCGCCTTGCCATTTAAATTGCCATCAAGGGCTTGTAAATGAAAGTCAGGGGTTTAATTAACTAAATCCGTACTTGTGCGACGCCCCGAAATAGATGAAAACCATCCAGATGGAAACTGTCCCAATTATAACCCCATTAAAACATCCCGGAGACACGCGCAATACACTTGGTGTTGATGGAGTGTGCGGCAATCGCACTTGAATTTGCCGCAGTCTTCACACCTCTTGTAAATAGTATTTGCACCTAATCCAAATAAATAAAACTTGCTTTTTGACATTAATGAGAATCTATTTCGATGAGTATTCTCACGGTTAATGTAACGATATCAACCGCTGCGCAACGTTGCAGCAAACACAAGGCAAGTGAATGTGCGAACATGCAAATTAATGCTGCGCAACCAGAAATAAATATAGGTACAGTTTTTTTTTTACATAGAAATAATAACGTGCATGTTTGTTTGTAAAATTTCAGTTTGTCAAATGAGTACGTAACGATAAAAATCAACGCATGTAATGCTGCAAAGGTGATCAAATACCCACACACACATGTCGATAACAGACGTAAATTAATCAAAGATATCGCAGCCTTTTAACGAAAAATATTAAAACACAGGGTTCGTCACAAACCAATAACTTAAGAATAAAAAAAACAACAACTGACAATTAACATTTGCAATGAAACGGAAGCAGCAAGTGAGATGGACTTGGCCTAAAACTACTGTACGATACTCCATCGTTATTCACAAACTTGCTATCCATGATTTTGGCTATCTGCCAATCGCATCTGGAACTCTAAACGACAACTGCATCGAGAGAGAGAGAGAAAACGTGATGAGATATTAAGTGATGAGAGAAAATGTGATGCGAGAAAGTGATGAGATAAATCGATGAGAGCTAACGTGACGAGATAAAGAGGTGTTATGATAATGTTCACGTATTTAATAGCCTATTTATGTATTTAAGGTAATTCACGTATCATCCGCAAAACACCTCATTCCTGAGCATATCCGCAATGAGCATCCCTCGCGAATAACGAGGGGACACTGGCATCTGCGGGGAGACAGGGATGACGAAATCAGGGCAGGCACGGCCACAATACGGAATGGCAGCGGAGGGTGGCGCAGTGAACGTGCAGGGCGTCACGCCACACAACGCACCACCGCGGTGGTTGGCGAGGGCATGGCAGCGTGGCACCAAAGCAGTGGCATCTGAGTTGCGATCCAGGTCTGGGGTCAACTCGGCCCACAATCTTTTCTGAGGTTAGTATATATTATATATATATTTTTAAGTACCATGTACATCACGTTTTGCGAGGCACCAACAATGGTTGTCCTACAGATACATATTGGTATGAGCCATCGGAATGTGTAATATTCACCACTGGCTCAAATAAGAATACTGCCAAGTCAGAATCCGAAAATGTACTTATCCTCAAGGAATCCGATGAGCTATAAAGCTATTTTTCACAGATGTCCAGGAGGGGCGCACAGGGTCAGAACGTGACCTCAAAAGAGAATACGAAAAAAAATACAAAAACACGATAGTTGTGCAACGTACACGAAAGGTAAACAAATCACCCAAAAACAAACAAATACAACTGAACCATCACCGTTTTTTTTATCGCCCTCACGTTCAAAAGACACTTTGGCACAAACGAAACTGCTCGCTTTTTGATTACATCGCTACAACATCTGGAGCCGTTCTCCCAAAGAATATGCATATTGTTCCTTCTGTTAAATCGAGGGCAACAATGGCGAGATCATTGTGGGAAATGCTGCTGCTGCTGCCACCACACCCCCGCCATTGCTTCCTTCTGCCAGATCCTGTAAACGTCGCCGAGCCGACCACCAAATTCACCCAACTCGCCGTTTAACACGGGACGAACTAGGGGGCCGATATGACAAAGATCCTTCTATTTGGCCTGGAAACATTCCTGTCAACAAGCACTTAAGGCCGATGCAGCACGCACGGAGGTATTCAAGGCCCCGACCCCCCATGACAAACATGGCTCCCTTCCTTTGCCTCTATTCGTTTTTACTTCTTGTAAATTATTTTTGAATTCTCTCATGAAATGACCTCTACAAGTGACATTTGTCTTGGCTTCTCTTCCATTTGAACAATATCCCGAGTGTTCCATGGGGTTGACATCCAACTCCACCACCACCCGTTCTCCTTCCCACTGGGCACATGGTCAGATTTCCAAAGACGTTAAATGCATTTTAGCGACAACAATAACTTAACCACGAATCCAATGTTTTACATTTTAATCAAGATTACCCATTTCTCCAAAACGAAACAGATTTAGTATGAAATTGGAAACCTATAATCGTGCATTTGTCACCGTAGAAATTACAATATTAAGACCAATAAAAAAACATTTTAGTCCATGCTGCCATGGTGCAATGGTTGGGACACTGGCAATCTGGAGGTCGTTGGGTCAATCTCACCGGCACGGCAGTCTCAACAACGCGTACATTTCTTAGAGCCCCGGACCAGGTTTGATATCACTCGCCACTGATGTTAGCCATGGCTGCAAAACAAAACGGGTCGCCAGGTTCGTAGTGCAGTGCATTAACTGCTACGTCACCACTCCCCCCCCCCCCAGGACACACCCGCAAATTCACAAGATACAACACTACCCCCCCCCCAGGACACACCCGCACATTCACAAGATACAACACTACACGGCGACACCAAAAGCCCACCAGGAACAGCCCACGGCTGTGCAGCCACACCAAAGATCCCCCGTGTAGCCTTAACAGACTGTTGGGGCAAGTGCTGTTAGTGAGCACCTATGAAGACCGGAACGGTACACGAGGGGGTGGCTGGCCAGCACCAGGCCCGAGCACCTTTGTCTCCCCAGTGGCGATGTTTGCACACCGCACCAGGTACTCATTTGAGGCCGGGTCAACCCAGGGGAGGCCCAGGACCGGTTCAGATAATCGTCACTGGTCTTGGCCGTGAGCGGGAATCGAACCCAGGTAGCCAGGTTCATAGTGCAGCGTGCTAACCGCTACACTATCGCTCCCCAGTCAGCTGAGTATGCAGCCTGCCATTCCACGCGTGGGTGACAGAGGTTACACACACACACAAGGCTCTCCCTGTGTATCGCATTGTGTGCTTTGTTTTGAGTTTAATTTACAGTTAAGTGCGCGTTTATTGTGCACTGTTATTGTTTAATGGCGAGAAGTTAACTACCTCGCCTGGTATACAGGAGATCGTGGAATTCGATCCCTATCCTGACGCCTTGGAGTGTGCATGTCTCTCTCCCTGTGGTCGCGGGGATTATTCTCCGGGTCCTCCGCTCTTTCCCTCCACATTTAGAATCCACATCGCCCGTTTAAAGTATTTGGATGCTAGACATTTCCACGTGATAAGCCACTTCGTTGCGCTATCATTTGTGACAGCCAAGTGGCTCGTGAAAAAGAGCCGTCGAGCTCAGTGGACCTTACCTGGTAAAAATGAAAATAGTTGAAGTTGAGGTTTAGTGTAATCAGAGCCGCCACCATGTGGGACGTCTCAAACTTGTGGGCAGGGGGCCGTCACCAGCGCACCACTGCCAAGCGGTGGTCGATACGCACGCCTGCAATCCAGCACTGTGGAGCTAGCGAGGGTTGGTGGAGCACAGAAATGTTGCTAAAATCCTTGCCCCATAGGTGTTGAGGAGGTGCCGGTACCCTGGCTCGCCAATAGAAGGCAGAACTTCAAAGTTCGCGGTAATATCGTCTGTGGCCTACTGCGTGGGATAAAGCGTTACCCCCTCGCACGGGCGGGTTTTGTCCGGCTGCTCCGGTTTCCTCCTAGGCGTCGTATGAACACTCATTAATCAACATCTTTATATATTGAGGACTGCAGAGCTTGGGAATTTTTTGGCACCGGCTTACAGCCTGGCTGTCTTTCAAGAAACTTGTCTGTAGTTGCGGCATGGAATTCGCATGTTTCGACACTATACGTGAAATTAAACATTAAACGTTGTATTTTAAACATTACAGGGTAACGTAAAAGTGAAATGCTGCCATTGCATTACAGTTAGTGCATCGGACGTGAAATCCAGCATTGGCCAGTTCGATGCCCCGGCACGGCCGTAGAAACAATGGGCAGGTTCCTTAAATCCCCTTCGCCCCCCCCCCCCCCGCCCACCCAGCAATATGAATGGGGGACAGCCACAGTAGTCTGGTGGGGTGAAAGTGTGGGTACTCCCAATGGCGGAGCCAGGATTTTCAGGTAGAGGGGGGGGGGGGCAACCCCTCCAGCAATGAAAAATGATAGAGGAGTTGTTAGTAATAAGTAAGGAATTGTTTGTAAGTAAGGACTTGCCCCTTGCTTTTTATTCTACGTGTGCACGGCGATGGCGCAGCCATCGATCGAGGGTCGAATTCGAACCGCGTTGTGTGATCGGCATCGCGCTCGCTGAAGGTGTTGATGCCTTCAGGGAAGTCGTGTACTCTGTAGACGCAACTGCGCACAATTCTGTGAGTCACTTATAACCGCTTTGCCGTTAGTTATTGCCAATTATGGACTCAGGCTATTGTCCTATCATCTCATAGAGTCCCTGGCACATACCAATATGCTA